ATAAAATAAAAACCAAATCCTCCTTTGTCACCAGAATCCTCTTTTTTGGTAAGTAAGATGTGAAAAATAATTAATGAGTGAATATAATAAGTAAAGGGAAAAAAAATAAAAAATTGTCATCAAATTTTATTTCACCTTAATTTTTTATTTTTTATTTTTATATACCATATGTATTCACACAAAATGTCATCATACATGCAAGTCCAATCATATTAAAATAATAATAATAATATTAGAAACTCTAAAAATTTTACTAAATTTTCTACCAAATGTTTCAAATGGGTGTGAGAACACACTATGTGAGTCATATGTGAGTTTCACATCCATGTAAGACATTTGATAAAAAAATTTGATAAAAAATTTGATAAAATTTTTGAGATCTCTACTATTACTTTAAAAAAAAATATAAAAAAATTCTCATGCTTGAGAAAGAGAAACCATGAAAAAAATGAAAATTTTCATCGAAACGTTTTGATAGAAGCACTCAAATGTTGGAAATTGTGGTTGAGTCCCAACAATATCATTTTTCACACCTTGAATTGTGAAAGATTCGATGGGATTCCACTTTTATTATATTTTATTAATTAATACAAATTTTAACACATAATTTTAGTTAATTACATAATATTAGTGTGAAATTCACAACATCCAAAGGTGTGAAAAATGGTTTATATTTACTCAATACAAAACCAAATCTCATCTCTTGATGCATTAGTGTTCGGAATAGATTTGTGAATGAAAAAAAAAATTATAAAAAATCTAAATTAAGTAATTGTTTGGGATGTACTATATAAGTGTATTTTTTGAATTTTTTGGTTAAAAAAGTAAAGTAAAAAAAAATGTATATTTGAGATAATTTTTTGACTTTTTATGAAAAGATGTTTAATAAAATATTGTAGTAAAATCAAAATAACTATTTTACCCTTTTGACTTTTTGACTTTTTGGGTAGTTGAATTCAAAAAGCAAAATAATAATTGTCCTAGTGGCTTCCCCCACAAGCTACCCTTAAATAGCGACTTTTTAGCTTTTTTAGAGTTCATTTGGGAAGTGAGTTGACTTTTTGGCTATTTTAGTCCGGAACTAAAAAGTCTCGTTTGGTAAGGATTTTTTAGTTTTTTTGACTTTTGGTGAGAGAAATAATATAATGATTATGGGTTGAATGTGATGTTTTGTCTTATTAGGCTAAAATAACTCATTTTGTCTTATATGGCTATTTTAGCCCAAACTTTCCTTCCCAAACGGAAGCTTTAGTAACTTTTTGACTTTTTTTAATTTATCCCAAATAAAGTCTTACTTTCTTTTTTTATTCTTTTTTTAAAAAATAAATTTCTCTATAAATCTAATATTTCAAAGCAGTCTAAGGGTTGGTTTGGGAAGTGGGTTGACTCTTTGACTTTTGACTTTTTTGGTTATTTTAGTCTGGGCTAAAAAGTTTAGTTTGGGAAGGACTTTTTGATTTTTTTGCTTTTTTGATTTTTTTTTTGTGAGAGAAGAGTGTAATGATTATGGGTTGGATGTGATATTTTATTTTTTTGGCTAAAATAGCCTATTTTGTCTTTTGTGGCTAAAATAACCAAAAAAGCCTACTTTAACTCTTCCCAAACAGTGCCTAAATAGCGATACAAAACAATCTCTTGTTAAAGAGGACATTAACGTTATGTTTGGTTGGAGGATTTGAGAAAAAAATTTAAAAGGAAAAGAGAAAAAGTGTGTGAAATTAATTAAAATATAAATATATTTTATTCACATTTCATATATATTTTCCTTTTGTCTTTTCAAATTTCTTCTCAAATCTCTCAACTAAACGCAGCATAAGAGTATTAATTTTAAGAAAAACATAAAATGAATATATTTTTTTATGACAGTCTTTTATAAAAATGAGCAAATTTTACTTTATCATTTGTTCACTCCATGTGGCGTTTGTTTTCCTATTATTTAAAAATAAACACATAACTTCTTATATTCGTGAATTAAAGTGACAAAAATGGCCATGATGCACATAATTTGATTATTTTATGTAGAAGGATATTTTAGTCTTGATACTTAAGTTATTAACAATATAAATGATGGAGTTTAATTTACAAACCATAATTATGTGCTTGTCTACTAATGCTAGGGGATACACTAGTAAATTATAGTGTTTTTCCTATAGAAAAATGTACATTCATTTCAAATTTCTTAACATGTCTTTTGTTCATAATTGTTAATGTACACCTCCTACACCAATTATTTTATGTAGAAGGATATTTTAGTCTTGATACTTAAGTTATTAACAATATAAATGATGGAGTTTAATTTACAAACCATAATTATGTGCTTGTCTACTAATGCTAGGGGATACACTAGTAAATTATAGTGTTTTTCCTATAGAAAAATGCACATTCATTTCAAATTTCTTAACAGGTCTTTTGTTCATAATTATTCAATATTTTTAGAGAAATTTTTTTATATGTATTATAATTTTTGATTAGAAGTATTATGCAGATAATGCCATTGGTACATCTAATTTTTTTTTTTTTTTGGGTTTTAATTTATTAAAAAAACTAAATATTATATATGTTAAGCCCAAGATTTGCACATAAATCAACCAGATAATCAACCTATTAATGATCCAGTGTTTTGACACAACAGCAACAACAAAACCGAGAAAAGTCAAAATTCTTTGCTTGAAGGGGGCTCTCTCTCTCTCGATCTCGTTCTTTGGAACCAACCCACACCCAATGCATTTCCACTGCGTGTTAAAAGCTCCTCCTTTCCACTTGTCCAGTCAAAGTTAAAAGTTTTCACAACATCAAGATGTTTCATATAACCCAAAAATAAATAAATAAATAAATATTTACAATTATATATTTTTTTTTAAATTGGGAGAAATTACAATTAGCATGCACTTTTAACATAATTATAAATTATTTTTTTAGATGGTAACATAGGCCTCATTTGAGAAGCTGATAAAAAGTCAGCTTCCAAGTTTTTATCAATTTTGAGTCATATCACCTCTCACATAACTTATTCACAAAAAGGCAAAATAAATTAAAAAAATTAAAAAGTTAACTTTTTACCAATTTTTCAAAACACTCCATAATTATAAAGTTAAAGGACTAAGGCTGATGAAAAAAAATTAAAAATTAAAAAATAAACCTAAACATAAACATATATTTTAATAAATACAATTAAAAAATTACTGATGAAAAGGATATGTGAGTTCAAATCTCAAAAAAATTGAATATAATTATTTCAAAAATATATAATTATTTATATATATTTTAAAAAATAATGTAATTTAAAAAAAAAAAAAAAAATCACAAGCGCGCTCTCTCTCTCTCACAAACTTGAATATGAAACCGTCAGTTTCAGCACCCCAATAAAGAAAAAAAACAAAAAACAAAAAAAAAAACAGAGAGGGAAAGTGATAGGATAAAAAAAAGGGAGAGAATATATCACGTTATTGTAATGAGCAACCTTTGCCTCCTTCTCACGGCGACCGAGACGGCACGAGAGCCTGCCGTCATCAAGCCCCTCCCTCCCCCCGAGTCCTCAGCTCTCTCTCTCTCTCTCGTCCCCCAACAAGCCATCAACTTATCAATGTTGGGAATTTATCTTTAGAAAATATTATGAATTTTAAATAATTTATTAAATTTTTTTACTTAAGTATGAAATTCACACAAATTTACATATTTGAGAGATTTAATAAAAAAATTGATAAATTATTTGATATCTCTATCATTTCTTTTTATCTTTTGTAAAAGTATTAGATAACTTAAAGAGTTTGTTGGAGATGATTTAAATAAGTATATTTTTTATCTTTTTACGAAAAGATGTACAGAAAAATAGAGAGATAATGTAATAAAAAAAAGATAAAAAGATAGATTATATAAGGGATGCCAAACCACCCCTAAGGGCTTCGTTTGAAAACAGGCTAATTTAGTAACTTTTTGACTATTTGACTAAAATATGAACTAAAAAAAACTAGTATATTTGGGATGACTTTTTGACATTTTACGAAAAATGTATAAAAAATAAAGAGAAAAAAGAATTTTTAACTTTTTGATATAAATTGTTGACTTTTTGACTTTTTTAAGTAACCTTTTAACTAAACTAGCTAGTCCCCAAACGAGACCTAAATTAATAAAACATCAATAACTAAATTATATTTATTTTAAAAATGGCATTTTCTAGATTAAAATTATTCATATAAATAAAAGGACATATTAAAAAAATATTGTAAATTAATAATAAACTTTACTGATATTAAACTATAAAGTGATAAATTTTTTCACTAATTATTAATTAAAGTTTAAAAAAATCCACTAACCAGTAGATTCCACTAAAAAATATTTGTGAATAAATAAAAACTAAATTTTAAATAAAAAATTATAAAAATAAACTAATTTAATATCTAATCAACTTTACTTTTTATATAAATAACCCATGAATTCTACCAAATAAACCATCATAAAACTAAGCCTAAAATGGAAACCCACAATGCATAAAAAGATAAATTCCCTACATTTTATCTCTTTTATTATTTTAGTTTTTATATTTTCAATTGACATAATTTCTAATCCCTAATTTAATTGTGATTAACTTATTAAGTTTAATAAATTTATAATTTTATTCTAATAAATATAACATAAGTCATATATATATATATATATATATATATATATATATCTTTTATAAAAAAAAAATACTAAAAATTATAATTAACTAAACTAAAATAAAATAAAATCATAAATTTATAATATAAATTAAATCAATTAAATTTACATAAATTAAAATAACATAATAACTAACATACAAATATTAATTTCATAATTTCCTGTTAATAAAATTTATTTTTTAAAATTATTATTCATCCATAAATTTATATAGTGGTATACTTATTAATCCATATGCCCTTGCACACATGGAATATTTACAATCAAAAAATAATAATAATAATAATAATATAAAAAAGCCATGAGCAGCTGTGTTTCCTCTCGAGAAACAGTGCAAAGGATTCAAAATTAAGGAACATTTGGATAAACTGTGTGAATCCTGATAAGATTTCAGTTTTTTTAAAAGCAATAAACGGCTTCATATCTATCTATTTCTCAATTTTTATCATAGATTTATACTTCTCTTACATAATACCCTTACCAACAAAAACTCAAGAAGGGAATAAAAAAGAAAAAAAAATTGTTTGATTATCTCAATATATAATATATTTATATATTTGTACTTGAAAATAAAAATAAAAATCCAAAATTTTTCAGGATTTCTCTCTGAGCAGAGAAGCTAATCCGGTAACCACCTTGACTCCTCCCTCGCATCTCTTCGGTTTTATCGCCGGAGGCTGCCACGTGGAGGCCACCACCGGCAACTTCTCTCCCTCGCCGGAATTCTTCTCCGGCGGCGGCGGCGGCGGCGATTCGGTTTCCTCCTCCGACGCCGTTTTGTCCCCGAAGATCAATTCAAACTCTCCGCAGTCACTCTGAAACGGCGGCGGAGAGTGAGTCTCCTCGACGGCGGCGACTGGCGGAGGAGCGGTGGTGGTTCTGGTGTGAGGAGAGAGCCATTTGGCTATCATGTACTCGGCCTTCCTCCAGGGAGGGATGTGCATTCCTTTCTTCTTCAGGCTCTGTCTCGCGGCCTCCGATAGAATCGATACGATTTGGTGGAGACGATCGGCTCTGCCGACGAAAATGTGCGGCAGAGATTGGAGGATCGCTTTGTAGCTTCCAGTCGATCGAGCTATCTCGAACTCTGATCTGAAATCAATGTCTATTAACACTCTCTCTGCTTCCACAATCACATCTATGTACTCGTATTCCCCTGTATAATCAATCATTGAATCAGATGAAGATCGAAACGAAATACATACATGCAAATATATAGGTGTATATAAATATATATATATATGAGAGAGAGAGAGAGAGAGAGAGGGATTACCGGCTGGATATGAGGGAGATTTCTCCCATCGCGATTTGCAGATTGAAGAATCGTAGCCGAGAAGCAATAGACCGTCGGTGACGATTTTTTTCAGATCATCCTTCAGCTTGCAAGCTTTATTCTTATCGAGGATCGTTGAAGCGTCTGCCAAGAGGTTTCTCTCGGAAACAGTCGCGCATTGAATCAAACTCTACAAATCAAATAAACATTTCAGATTAAACTGAAATTATCATCAGAGAGTTGGAAATGATGAAGCAAAAATTTATTAATTACCTTGAGATTATCGAAAGAATCGGCAGACGAAGCAGGAGGTATTGAGTCACCAAAACCACTAGAGATATCAAATTCGTCATCGGAGCTGTCATTGTTCCCGTTGAAGCAATTGCAGCGATTGCGTCCGCATTTCGCAGATGATTGCTTCTCGTTAGTCTCCTCGATGAAATTCTGCACCATTTTTGCCAAACAGACGGAATTTGGCTCGAACTCGGCCCCTCCTACATCCTCGCCGTACTGCGGTTCTCCGACGGGAGGCTTCTCCGCTGACGAAATACGCAGAACGCTTGGGAACTGCCGATCGAAGAGCCTCTTGAGACGCGATTTTAACACAGGTTTGGCTGAATCGTTTCTGATCGATTCTCGGAACGCTTGAGAATCCAGTGGTTGAATCTTCATTGGAGGCATACTAGCTTCTATCGCCTCTGTTTCTAACTGGTTTTATGTTGTGAATACCGCTTAATTATACTCTGTCAGTACTGCGACTCTTGTTTGTTATAGTGATTCGTCAAAAATCAAAACTGTTCCTGAAATAAACTTCACATAAATCCATGGCACTGGACCACGAAATCAGTGCTCTCTGTGAGGTTAGGTTGGAAAATATTAAATTCAACAATTAATACAATCTCACATCACCCGATCATTTGTCTCATCCGATCACACCAACACAAATCAATCCGGTCCACATATCTACTCAAAATCAACAACAAAACAAAACCAAACCAAAAAAAACAAATCGATGCCTTTCTTTCTAGTTTAGAAAAGGATCGAATGACTTTGAAACTCTGCAAACAAAAACTGATGGTTGTTTTCGCTTAGGGTTTTTCATGGAAGACGTGATGGCGATGGAGTGAGTCGAGGGCATTGCGTGCGTGCAGAGAGGAATCGATCGCCGGAATATTCATTTCCGGCTCCGGCGTTGTGAATAGAGAGAGAGGGGAGGGGTTTGTTTGGCTGTTTGTGTAGTAATAAAAATGTTGGAGTGGGGAGTGAGTGATTTTATAAGGGGGGAGGTGAGGGGGTGGTGCTGACTAGGATTGTGTGCCACTTGGATAATGACGTGTCGTGGATAAACCTGATATTTTGCAGTTTGGTCACGTGGCAGTGGGTGCACGGAAGTGGGGGTGAGGATGTGATGGTGAGAGGACAAGTATCAAGTGGAGGAGTGAGTCGTGGGAGTTAGTGATTGGATGGGTTAGTTTTAAATTACGTGAATGCCCTTCTATTTTTGGTGGAAAGTGGGGTCCAGATGCCCATCGCATTCCGGGAATATCGAAAACCGTCTCATGATGAACGTGGCACGGTGGCATTGCAAATTCAACTTGAATATAAATAAATTACAGTATAATTTTATTTTAAATAAATTATTTATATCTTTTATTTTTATAATTTGACTTAAATTTTATTGTAATTCTTATAATTTTAGTGATGCTTTGGAAACACCCAAAAAAATCACATATTTTTCTCTCTTTCTAAAAATATTTTTAATGATTTTTTTATTTCAAATTATGTTTAAAAAAATTATTTTTTCAATTCATCTTGTGTATATGAATCTAAAAAGTGAAAAAAATTCAAAAAAGACAACCAAAAAAAACTATTTTTTTTTACTTATTTTTGTCCTTTTTAGATTTTTAAAAAATAATTTTAATTTTTTGATTCATTTCGTCACTGATTTAGAAGCCTAAAACTTTTTGAAAGTTGAAAAAAAAAATTACTGAAGACCAAATAAATTTTTAAAAAATGCCAAATAAGCAAATTTCAAACATCCAATTTGAACAAATTAATTCATACACTTTTAAGTCTAATTTTAATTTGGTCATTTTGTCTAATTTGAAAGTTAAAATAAATAATTATGTTACACTTATTAATTTTTTAAGTTTTTAATTTTATCCTTCCATCTAAATTGAAAGTTAAAATTAATAATTTTGAGATATTTATCAATTTTTTTAAGGTGTACACATAGATAAAATTAATAAAAGTTTTGATTGAATAACCAAATTAAAACTATACTTTAAGTGTACGGACTAAATTGTTTAAATAAAAACTATAGTGACTAAAATGAAATTGTGAGAATAGGCTATTTTAGGCCATTTTTAGGAAGTGTAAAAAAAAAAGCCAATTTATTGACTTTTTGAATTTTTTGGAGCAAATTATCTCTTTATTTTTGCATATTTTTTTGTAATAAATAAAAAGTTAACTTTTTTTAGTACTTTTCAAAACAATCCTTAGGTCTCGTTTGGGACCACGCTATTTTAGTAATTTTTTGGTTTTTTTAGCTAAAATATGAGGTAAAAAAATTAGTATATTTGGAATGATTTTTTAACTTTATACGAAAAGATGTGTAAAAAGAAGAGAGAAAATAGAATCTTTGACTTTTTGGTATAGGTTATAAACTTTTTGATTTTTTGATAACTTTTTAACTTTTACGCTAAATCAGACAGTTGTCAAACAAGGCTTTAGTAACTTTTTGTTTTTATGAAAGAGATGTGATGTCAAAAGCAATGTTTTGAAGATCAGATCGGTGAACGAACCGAAAAATGGACTTGGTGGATGGATCACTGGTACAACCGTCATGTCAAAACTAAAGTCATAATTACATCATAAATATATTAAAAATATAAGTTTAAAATCAACAAAATAATAGAATTTTCAAATATCACTCACAATGAAATTATAATTTGCAATAATAATGTGACATACTTTATTTTTATTTGTTGAAAACCTTTCTCTAAATAGGTTGCGCAACACTTTTGACAAGCAAAAATCACCGCACGATCTACACATATATCAAAGTTAGAAAATAGAACATATTATAAATACAATCATAATAATGAAAGTAATAAAAGCATTATACTAAAAGCAATTAATATTACCTATTTGTCAAATAAAAACACAAATATAATCAAATAAAAATACTGTAGTTTACTACATCAATTAAGAGTCAAATCTCAAATACAAACATAAACCAAGCAAACATAAAGACAAGATCTATAATTCCAAATCTTAAATCACACTAATGAGCATCCAGCCAAAGAAATCCATTTTGTTGTAGTCCTAAGATTTGGGATTTTTTCGTGCTATATATATGTTCAACAAACCCAGCCGATTTATAATAACCCACTCTAGGTTGTCGGTTTTGTTGATTCAATCGGCGGTCCATCTGGTTTTTGCATTTTACATCGGTTTTTATCCTAGTCCGAGTTTAGAGGTTTTTCCGGACCGAAACAAGGCTCGATTATCGGTTCAGTTGGTTCGACCAGCCGGGCTGGTCTGAGTTTGTAAACATTGGTAGAAAGGTAATGTGATTTAAATAAGATAAAAGTGAGTAATTATCATGTTGGCTATGTGCCCAACAATAGCAAATGGTTAAATGAATATATGGCCCTAATAATAAGGAAATGGCGGATAAATTATAATGTTTTATTGATTGAGCATATGAACATGTCGTCTTCTTGACTTACTAGATAATTTTTGAATAGAAAGACAATAAAAATATATTATTCTAGTAGATTGCCAAACAACCCCTAACATCAATCTATAGGGATAAAAAGTGTAATTAATGCATTTAAAATGTAACTAGAGACTAAATAAAGATTAAATAACTAAATAATTACTATACATTTTTTGCTATATATGCTTTAATTAAGAATGTGTAATTATTTTAAAATTTTAAACTAACAAGTGTCATTAATGATTCTTTACCCAGATTTTTTTTGTATTACTAAATTGGTGTTCATAACTTAAGGAGAGTAAGTAATGTTTGTGGTAAAACTCAACTCTTAACTTTCTGATAACCTCATAAAAAAAATAATAAAGGAGAAATTACCAATCAGGGTTTACTTCTAAAAATTATTACACATTAGTTGAAAGGTTTCTAATTTTATTTATTAATATTTATCATTTATTAGTTTTTTTTTTTTTTTGATTACCTCTAGTATGTTATTTCCCCATAAATAAATCAAGCTTCTAATAAAGAATTCTTGATAATTAGAGTAGTCCCGCGAAGTAGATTTTGGAGTAATTTTAGATTGATTACACAATCTGAATAAAAGCACCTTATATAACATTATTTACATCATTTAGCCTCCGTTTGCAACACTTTTGACAAGCAAAAATCATTGCACAATCTACACATATATCAAAGTTAGAAAATAGAACATATTATAAATACAATCATAATAATGAAAGTAATAAAAGCATTATACTAAAAGCAATTAATATTACCTATTTGTCAAATAAAAACACAAATATAATCAAATAAAAATACTGTAGTTTACTACATCAATTAAGGGTCAAATCTCAAATACAAACATAAACCAAGCAAACATAAAGACAAGATCTATAATTCCAAATCTTAAATCACACTAATGAGCATCCAGCCAAAGAAATCCATTTTGTTGTAGTCCTAAGATTTGGGATTTTTTCGTGCTATATATATGTTCAACAAACCCAGCCGATTTATAATAACCCACTCTAGGTTGTCGGTTTTGTTGATTCAATCGGCGGTCCATCTGGTTTTTACATTTTACATCGGTTTTTATCCTAGTCCGGGTTTAGAGGTTTTTCCGGACCGAAACAAGACCCGATTATCGGTTCAGTTGGTTCGACCAGCCGGGCTGGTCTGAGTTTGTAAACATTGGTAGAAAGGTAATGTGATTTAAATAAGATAAAAGTGAGTAATTATCATGTTGGCTATGTGCCCAACAATAGCAAATGGTTAAATGAATATATGGCCCTAATAATAAGGAAATGGTGGATAAATTATAATGTTTTATTGATTGAGCATATGAACATGTCGTCTTCTTGACTTACTGATAATTTTTGAATGGAAAGACAATAAAAATATGTTATTCTAGTAGATTGCCAAACAACCCCTAACATCAATCTATAGGGATGAAAAGTGTAATTAATGCATTTAAAATGTAACTAGAGACTAAATAAAGATTAAATAACTAAATAATTACTATACATTTTTTGCTATACATGCTTTAATTAAGAATGTGTAATTATTTTAAAATCTTAAACTAACAAGTGTCATTAATGATTCTTTACCCAGATTTTTTTTGTATTACTAAATTGGTGTTCATAACTTAAGGAGAGTAAGTAATATTTGTGGTAAGACTCAACTCTTAACTTTCTGATAACCTCATAAAAAAAATAATAAAGGAGAAATTACCAATCAGGGTTTACTTCTAAAAATTATCACACATTAGTTGAAAGGTTTCTAATTTTATTTATTAATATTTATCATTTATTAGTTTTTTTTTTTTATTATTACCTCTAGTATGTTATTTCCCCATAAATAAATCAAGCTTCTAATAAAGAATTCTTGATAATTAGAGTAGTCCCCCGAAGTAGATTTTGGAGTAATTTTAGATTGATTACACAATCTGAATAAAAGCACCTTATATAACATTATTTACATCATTTAATGGCTTCAATTCTTATTGGAAATATCTAACATGTTCGCATGTTCACTAAAGATTGTTTTAGAAAATTAGTTAAAAGTTAATTTTTTAATTTTATTTAAAAAAAATTAAAAAACATGTAAAAAAGTAAAAAATTTATGTGATTCAAAATAGATTAAAAGTCAAAATTTAACTTTTAGCCAAGTTCCTAAATTAGCCCTTAGTTTTCTATTTATTAGATAAGATAATTTTGTGTCACTATACTATTCAATAAACACATAACCAGGTGATATTTCAAACTCAACAAATAAGGACTTGTAAAAGCACCAATGTGAACATATCATATTATGTGATTGGTCTTGTGTAAAGCATCTCATTTGATATCCAAATGTATTCAATCTAATATTATTGTAAAATTGTACAAAAATGTAAAGACTAAAATATCAAAATTGTGACATATTGTAATTTTTTCAAATTTTAGAAAAAATTATAATTATACAAAACAAAAATAAATACACAAAAATGTGTAACTATCTAAATATATTGGGTAACTTGG